TGTGATGCCATTCCTCTTCAATTTGTCATTCCTGACATAGTAAACCATGTGATTATCAGATACAGAATGGCCAATACCAGTCCATTTCATCTCACTAATGCCTAGGATATCTATATTTATGCATTCTATTTCATTTTTGACAGTTTTCAATTTTCGTAGATTCATACTTCATACATTCCATGCTCTGATTATTAATGGATATTTACAACAATTTCTCTTTATTTTGAGTTGTGCCCCATCAGTAAATTAAGTTCCCAAAGACGTTATTCCATTCACATCATCGTGGTCAGCTTTACTTTGAGAATGTAGCTGTTCCCTAGGCACATTTTAATTGCCTTCCAACCTGACTGACTCATTTTCCAGCACTGTATGTCACAATTTTTGACAAAAAACTGAATGATGAAGCACAGAATCATTGTACCGAAAACAAATGGTCCATGTTCAACTATTTCAAGAGGTAGCAAATGATCAAGAGCCAGTGATACTGAAAGAAGAAGTCCAAGGTGCACTGAAGACATTGGCAAAGAACAAGGCACCAGGAATTGATAGAATACAAATAGAAATCTTTCAACAAATTGTTGTGGCACTGGAAGCACTCACTCGTCTATGCCAAGAAATTTGGAAGACAGCTACCTGGCTAACTGAGTGAACAGATCCATATTTGTGCTAACTCCAAAGCGAATTGACCAACAAAATGAGGCAATTATTAGATAATATTATTAATATTGCATGCAAGTAAAATCTTGCTAAACATAATACAAAAATGGTTGCAACCATACTTCAGCAGAGAACTTCAGAGGTTTAAGCTTAATTCAGAAGAGGACGTGGAATGAAGGATGTGGTTGCTGATGTCAGATGGATCTTGACCGAAAGCAGAGAATAACAGAAAGATATTTATCTGTGCTTTATTGACCATGCAAAGGCTTTCAGTTGTGTGGATCATGACAAATATGGATAACAGTGTAGAGAATGAATATGCTGGAACACTTGTGCTCATGAGGAACTTGTACATAGACCAAGAGGCAGTTGTTCAGACAGAAGAAGGGAACATCGAATGGTTTAAAATTAGGAAAGATTGTATTATTATGATTTAAAATTACGAGGGTTGTATTCTTTCACCATACTTATACTGTTTGCATGCTGAGCAAATAACCTGAGAAGCTGGATTATATAAAGGAAAACGTGGCATCAGGATTGGAGGAAGACTTATTAACCTCTGTGATTTGCATATGATACAACCCTGCTTACTGCAAGTGAAGACAGTTAAAATACTTACTGGTGAAAATCAAAGACCACAGCCTTTGGTATGGTTTGTATCTCAATGTAAAGAAAACAAAAATCCTCACCACGGGACCAATAAACAACATCCATTTAAATGGAGAAAAGATTGAAGTTGTCAAAAACATCATTTTGCTCGGATCAGCCATCAACACTCAGAAAAGTTATGCAACAACAGCAGTCAAGAAATCAAATGATTAGGCAGTTCTGCACAAGACCTCTTTAAAGTGTCGAAGAGCAAAGATACTAGCTTGAGGACTAAAGTATTTTAAATAACTTTATATGTATGTGAAAGTTCGACAGTGAATAAGGGAGGCTATAGAAGGACTGATGCATTTGTGTTATGGAATTGGAGGAGAATATTAAAAGTACCTTGGACTCCCAAAGGAACAAACCAATCTGTGTTTGAAGAAGTACAGCCAGAATGCTCCTTGGAAACCAGAATGGTCAGACTTCGTCTCTTGTACTTCGGTCATATTACCAGGAGGGACCAGTCCTTGGAGAAGGATATCATGTTTGGTGAAGTGGAGGGCTGAAGGAAAAGAGGTAGACACCCAAGGAGATAGATTGGCATGGGGCTCAGGCATAGCAACGATTGTGAGGTTGGCCCAGGACTGGACAGTGTTTTGTTCTGTTGTGTATTGTTGTTGTTAAGTGCTGTTGAGTCGGTTCCGACCCATAGCGACCCTGTATAGGGTTTCCTAGGAGCAGATGGTGAGCTTGAACTGCTGACCTTGGCAGTTCAAATGCCTTTGCAGTCTCACGCATTAACCCACAGGGCCATGGAGGGTCACTGAATTTATGCTGACTTGATGTCACCTAACAACAACAACAGTAAATATCTGACAGTATTCTGGTGCTATTCATCATGCTTTAATATGTAATATTCTGTTACTGTCTGACACCATTTCACTGCTATTCATAAGGTTTTCATTGACTATTTGGAAGTAGTCCAAATAGACTGGACTCTCTTTCCTCCTCGTCTATAAGCTCATCTGAAACCTGTCGACAATGGATGCTTTGCTGGCATTTAAAATACCAATGGCATAGCTTCCAGAATCACAGCAACACAAAAGCCACTATAGTACGACAAACTGACAGATGAGTGTATAGTTTTCAAAGTAGTGTGACATAATATGTCAGTAGGCATTATGGTACTGTCAAATGCTGGTAAGGAATTAAAGGACCTCTGGTGGTGCTGTGGGTTAGGCATTGAGCTGCTAACCACGAGGTCTGTGGTTCAAACCCATCAGTTCCTCCTCGGGAGAAAGATGAGGCTCTCTGGGGTCACTGTGAGTTGCAGTCAGCTCAGTGGCTGTGGGCTTGATGTTGGATTTGGTATAAGGAATAAGGCAGTAGTAGGAGAAAGATTCCTGGAGGAAATGATAAACAAACTTAACCTAAAGATTGGGAGGATTTTTTTCTCCCTCCTGCCAAATATACAAGTAGTTGAGTGATTTGCCAGGAAAAAGAGTATTGTAGGTTGAGGAAACTGTGCAAAGCCACAGAAATGATAGTGCAGTGCAGTTGGAAGAACTGAAAGAGTGTTTGGGAAGATGAGAGGTGGTCCAAGTAGTGGGAATAGAATGTGTGTGCAGGCCTGTATAATACTGTGGTCATGAGAGATTGTGCTGGAGAGGTTTAGCAACTGAAAGCCAAACCAATCTTACTGCCACCAAGTCGTTTCTGTGCAGGGTTTCTTAGGGTATAACTCTTTTTTTTTTTTTTTATGTTTTATTGTGAATTATGTGATAGTTTATATGAGAGAACATTAGCTTTACATTCATTCTTTCATATATTGTTTCATTGCCATGTTTATAATCCCTTCCATGCATCATCAACCAACCAAAGGTTATACCCTGCAAGTCTGTGTGCCCCTCTCTGGGTCTAGTGTCCCCAGCCTCTCCATCTCTCCACGTCATCATCTTTGCCTCCATTTCTGGCGTCACTGCTTCTCTGGGTAGGGTCTTGCACTCTGCTCTTCTCCCTTGATGGTTCCAGGGACCTCCGCTCTTGGACTGCATAGTCAATCACTCCCCTCCTTTTGCTACAAAATGTCCACTTTTACATTTCCAGCCCTCACAGTCAGTCCTGATAACAATTATTTACCATTATACCACAAGGGACCTATCCCCATCTCCTTTCATCAGCTCCACACAGACAGATTGGATACTACTCAGTGGAGATTCTACCTTCCTCCATGTCCCCTGGCTCTAGGTTCCCTCTTGAAAGCTTGTAAGCCAGTCACTACCTTTGTAGCCACCCCCACCCCCACCCCCATTTTGGGTAGCCAGTGTCCAAGTTGCCCTCCCTGCCTACTCTGTGTATGGAGGGGGTGGGAATGATCCTTGTGGTAAAGATTTGTTCCCTCTTTTAGGTTATAACTCTTTTTGGGAGCAGAAAGCCTCGTCTTTTCTCTTGTGGAACAACTGGTGGGTTGGAACTGCTGACATTGCTATTAGCAGTTCAGTGCTTATCTTATAGCACCACTAGGGCTTTGGAGAGGTGTTTAAATAATACAGTCTTTAATGTCTTAGAAGAGCTTGATAATCATAATTATTGCTGGAAGTGCTCGAAGTGGAACTGAGCTAGAGTAGTGAGAAGAACAGGTTTCGATTTTTGGAAGGGCACTCTGGCTCCAGATGTGAAACGTTAGTCAAAAGGGTCAAGACTGCTGGCATGGGACTCAGTTACAACATTGTTTAGAAATTGTTAGTTTGTACTAGGAAAGTGATCCTGGGGCTGTTGAGGAGTGAATAGATCCCAGATTAAATTGGGTGGAAACGCCACTTGGATCAGGTACTTACCTCTGCTTCAGACTACTGTGCTCTTCAGGAAGTTAATAGTGCCTCACCATTTACTCAGCAGTCCTGTGAAATCAGACTCTAAAAACAAACCAGGCATGAATATAGAAGAAAAATAGGCAGATTATTCAATTTAACCCTTATGGTTATTTTCTGATTATTTGCATTTTTTAGATCTTCTTTGACTAGTAAGGAGCTCTGGTAGTGTAGTGGTTTAGGAGTGGGGTTGCTAACCTCAAGGTCAGCAGTTTGAAACTACAAGCCACTCTGTGGGAGAAAGATACACCTTTTTGCTCCCATAAAGATTTACCCTCGGAACCTATGAGTCGGAACCAACTCCACAGCACATAACCACCACCACCTTTACTAATAGCTATAGGGGGTCTCGTACCAGTTCTCTTCATTGGGGGCATCTATAAGTTTGCCAGTCATTCTGGAGCTCTTCTTGTATCAAAGCTCTATGACATTGAATATTGTCTATTAATAAAGTAACTTGAGTATGCTGTTTTCTGCCATTATTATCTAACTCAGTTTTTGTTAAAGGACTTCAAAAATAACTTGTGTGTGTGTGTTTGTAAAATATGTTTGACTATAATACAATACAATACAGTGTTTGATCTTAGATTTAGATCTTACTTAGTGGTTAAGAGTCAGACTAGGCGTCATTTTAGCTTCACTACTTGCAAGCTGTATGATCGCTGTGTCTACTCTCTTAGCCTTAATTTTATTCACTTGTGCAAAAGAGAAATTAATCTTTACTTCAGGGGCTTTTGTGAGCATTAAAATAGATGTTGTGGTTGTTAAAGTGCCATCAAGTCAGTTCGGACTCATGGTAACCCTGTATAGTGTTTCTTACGAGTGTCTGGTTAGTTTGTAATGTATTTGATATTTTATATGTGTGTTTTTCTTTTGATAAAGAGTTTTCCGGAAAAGGACCTTCTGCACTGTCCATCTAAAGATGCAATTGAAGCTCATTTTATGTCATGTGTGAAAGAAGCTGATGCTTTAAAGCATAAAAGTCAAGTCATCAATGAAATGCAGAAAAAAGATCACAAGCAACTCTGGATGGGATTTCAAAATGGTAAATAATAGAAAGGCTTAATTTTTAAATTCTTCTTTCTCAACTGTTGTATACTATAACCCTGTGAGTAATTGGTACACCTTAGTATTGGTGATAAGTTCTCTAGGTCCCCAGTGATGCTTGAATGCTGTCCTAAAGGTTAAGTGTTTGGTCACACCCATTGGTACCATGGAAGAAAAGACCTAGCAAGATATTCCATTATGATGATAACCAAGGAGATCCTAATGAGAAGTTCTACTCTGTAGCACACAAGGTTGTCTTGATTCAGAATTGACTTGATGGCAGCTAGCAACAGCAATCACCAGATAGGTGGTATTCATTTAAGTTTCAGCCCCTAAGTCCAACAATTTGCAAAGACGCTATCAGTAGTTTATCCCGTACTTATTCCCTTCTGACATCCTACTTGGACCTTACTAACATGCATCTGTACATAGATATTGTAGTGTGATTAGCTTTACCCAAAACATGTGACATTATCGTATTTCTGTGCTTGTGTCCTTGCTCTTAGATAGTAGTTCTTACTCCTTAAGCGTGGCCTTCTAGAAGTCTTCCACAGCTGAGAACCCTGGCTGTGGATTGTTGGCATGCCGTCATTTCAGGGACCTTAGCAGTCAGAGTTGGTGAAGGTGAGCTTATCAGTATAAGTAAGGAAAGTGGTTGTGACAGAAAGGATGAAGATGTTCCAGAGGAAGTGATACTGGCAGAAAACTGCTCATTAAAGAAATACTTACACTACATTGAAAGTGCAAAGGACAAAATGTTGAAAGTTGACCCAGTATTAGAAAGAAGCATGACAATTTGCCAAGGTATAGAAAAGATGGCTGTTCATAAGTTACATGCTGAGAAATTGAGCAGTGTTCAGTTTATACATGCTAAGTTTTTTTTTAACAAAGAAAATAACATTTGAATTCTTAATGTTTCTAAGGTTTTAAATTGTGGTGTACTGAATAAATATTAGTTTTAGCTTTAAGATTTTCCTGTACATGTATAGCCAACAGTAAGAGTTTTGAATGTTTTGGCAAAATATTTTAAAGATTGTAGAATAATCATAATTTTTACCATTATTTATTAAGTTCATTTTGCATGGTTTCAGCTCACATACTCATTTTTCCAGCCCTGTATTCCTTTGCATAGCAACACTAGCTATGTTTTGTTCATGTTTGATAGCTGTCTTTGGCCAGGGTGTTAAGTTAGTCTAATATATAAGCAACTTTTTCATGGCAGTAAATAGTAAATTAAAAAAAAAAAAATTCTTTAAATAAGAAAACATTTAAAAGGATAATTTTAAGAACTAGGATCCATTTTTATGCTTTGATTATATTATTACCATGTCAAATGTGTCTCTGACTTCTTAGTATTTATTAAACTTTCATTGTACTCAATAGAATGGATGATCTATGGCCTCTGTAGCAGAAACTGTCTTTACTGACAGTGTATACTACAAGTTAAATTCTTCTTATTTCTTTATTCTTTTAAGTTTTCTAGATTTGACCTGTGTTGCCTGGAGTTGCTGTTTAGTTTCATGTAGCGTAGTGGTTACAAATTGAGATGTGAACCGCAAGGTCATCAGTTCGAAATTACCAGCTGTTCCGTGGGAGAAAGATGAAGCTCTCTGCTCCCGTAAAGATTTACAGCCTCGGAAACCCTGTACAGGGTCACTATGAGTTGGTTCTGACTCCACGGCACATAACCATCACCACCAATATTCGTCAACTAGAGTATGAGTTTTACAGTGACAGCCACCAACCATTTTACCTCATTTATATTGCTGCGTACATGTTGTTGTTGGTAAGTGCTCTGGAGTCGGTTCTGACTTATAGCAACCCTATCTTGATTTCCGGGGTTTTAAATCTTTGCAGGAGCAGAAAGCCTCATCTTTCTCCTGTGGAGCAGCTGGTGGGCTTGAACCACGAACCTTGTAGTTCACAGTCTTGTACTTACTGTATGGAACCACTGTATTCTCCAGCCAACCTGTGAAGGGCTACAATAAAACAAATTTTCTGAGTGCACACATTGGAATCTTGCTGTATAATTTTCCCATGGGAATCATGCCATTTTTGGCAGTTCATAAATAAGCTGAGTACATAGATTCCTATTAAACAATTAGAATTCGTAATCCCTTAAGATGCAATTTTTGCTTTTTATTACTGGCCATTTGAAGATGCAGTGTTATTTTAGTAGACTTCTGAATAGGAAGATAACCTAACTGGAAGAAGGGATCTGAAAATTATCTGGCCTTAGAATGTAATTAAAGTAGGTCATTTGAATGTACAGATAAGTAGGTGTTCTGGAAGTCTATTGTGAATGTGTTGAGCCTTCTATAAAGAGCCTAGGGATTCAGCAAGGGATTTTAAAAGCGATTGAAATGGCTCAGTTGGACTTTGAACAAAGACCTAAGTTTTAGTGTCAACTCTACCAAGTAGCTCTGTAGGACAAGTCTCTTAACCTTTTTGAGCTTCATTTTCATGTCTGTGAAACAGTAGAGTATCTGCTACGTTGCCATACAGGTGTCTGTAGAGGCTTTAATGGAACGCTAACACGGTTTTTTGTGAAAGTATTTGAAAGGATGGAATTAGTGAGAAATCAATATGAGACTCCAGATAAGGAATTGGTAAACTGTTTTCGTAAATGTTATTGTACCCAAGTATGCCCATTCATTTACATATGATTGTTTGTGACTGCTTTTGTGACAACAGCAAAGGTAAATAGTTGTGACAAAGACCACAGCCTAAAATATACTGCAGATTTTTAAGGAAAGTTTGCTAGCCTCTAGATGGTTTACTAAACCGTAGCTCACGTTATGAGTGGCCCACAGCATGCTTCAAAATACCACAAATTCAGGACTCGTATAACTTAATGTGTATTCAACTTAGCTTATAACAGACTTCAGTGTTGTATTTTAGGCGTAAAAATCCTTTTGTTTCTGCTTTGGCTTTAGCTGATATTCCTTCTTAGATGCGTGATTGTTAGTATTTGGTTGAAATATACTTTATGTTTTTTAGCTATGAAATCTTGTTTTGTTGTAATGATCATGATTGAGCTGACACTACTCAAAATCTTATGTAAGGTCTACTCTGGATATTGGAGATTTTGGTATTTTTTTTTCAATTTTTTGAAAATTAAAGTAGTCATTTAAGAAAGTGTTAGCTGGGTGTTGGTGTTAGTGGGGTTATGTGCAGTTGAGTTGCTTCTGGCTTAGAGCAAACCTGAATAGGGTTTCTGAGGAGTAACTGGTGGGTTTGAATCGCCAATCATGTTTTTAGTAGTCCAGTGCTTATCCTGCAATGCCACAAATGGTCATTTATAAACTCGTATATTTTGGGGGCAAAATGCTGAATGTTATTTGTTGTTAAGTGTTGTTGAGTAGGTTCCGACTCATAGTGACCCTTTATAGGGTTTCCAGTAAGCAGCTGGTGAGAGTGAACCTTAAGATTTGTGAACCAAGGATTCAAACAACCTTTCAGTCCCCGTGCTTATCCTACATAACCACACAAGGATAGATGTTGAGATGAAGATAAATTGGTGAAAGAGGGGTATTGTTATTCTGAACCTTTGCCTGGAATGCCCGTTCCCTCCCTTTTTGTATGTTTAATTCCTTATCAAGTTTTAATGTTAATTTCTGTTGTCATCTTTTATGTGTAGTTTTCCCTCTTATTTTGTTGTTGTTGTTGTTAAGTGCCATCCAGTCGAGTCCGACCCATAGTGACCCTGTATAGGGTTTCTGAGGAGCGGCTGGTAAGCTTGAACTGCTGAACTTGCTGTTCAAACTGGCATTGCAGTCCAGTGCATTAACCCGCAGTGCCACACCAGGACTCCCCCTCTTAATTTGGTCAACACTTATTTCTTGAGCACCTAACGTTTACCTGACTCTGCTCAGTGCTAGTGATCATTGAGCAATGACAGAACACTTCTGTCCCCTGGCTTCGTGGAGCATGCAGCCTAGTGGAGGCCGAACTGTTTGTGCTTTGCTGCTGTCTGGCTCCATGATCTTGCATATACACTTTTACTCTCTTATTTTATCACACTTTTGTTGTAAAGTGCTGTGGAGTCGACTCAGACTCATAGTGACCCTGTGCAGGATTTCCAAGGAGCCCTGGTAGGTTTAAATCTCTGTCTTGTGGTTAACCTATCACACTGTAGTAAATAGTTCATGGTTTTAGTTTTTCCCAAAGTTTGTCATACATTGCTTTATCCCAGCATTCAGTGGTCTTAGGCATGTTGTAGTTATTAAGTGCTGTCAAGTCAGTTCCAACTCATAGTGACTCTGTATAGGGTTTCCAAGGTGTGGCTGGTGGGTTTGAACCACCAACCTTGCAGTTCACACTGACCTTGTAGTCCATTGCTACACTAGGTCTTAGGCAGAGACTAGACAAAATAAATTGATGAATGGGCTTTTTAATTTTATTATTTTCTAATACTGTGAGGAAATAGTATAAGTACTTTAATGTTAGTATGAAAAAGAAGATGTGCCTTGTTTGGATTTACTTATGGAAATGAGTTTTAGGCTTCTGTCATAAGAAGACCCTTTAAATTTGTGAGGTCATGGGTATTTTGCCTTTTGGTTAGCATGATTGTAAACTTGTCAAAGTCAAGGCATGGCAGATGGTGACTTTGTTTCATCCAGAATTGCACCTGTAGAACATAACAACCTGCTAACGATTTCAACAATTTTGAATACTTTCAAATGCTAATTTTAATTTCCCAGATCTCTGTGAAAGAGAAATAAGAAAAGCTTATGAAACCAAGAAAACTCATTTCAGACATACTGTGCCTTTCAGTGTTGTTTTTTTTTAAAAATGGGTTTTCATTTTAGATATAAAAATATGTAACATTCTTGTGAAACAAAGTTGATGACCAAGAAATAGAAAAGAAAGTAGCATTTTTATTATTTATGAAGCAGTTTTCATTACATGTGCATGCTGCTTTTGCTATTAAATGTTGAGCTGGGTTTTTTTAATAAGTTAGAATTTGCAAAAAAAAAATATTTTAAGCATATGACT